TCTATTTTTTTACACATTTCCTATGATAGAAACAATTATAAGTTAATATACCAATAAAACAAATTAAGTACACAAACAATTCACACCATTCAAAATAATGAAAATTGTATCAGTGTTTCTGGTTTTAGACGATAAGTAACAAAATGAGCCCATTGAGTTTTTTCTATATCAGTTGGCACATTACTTATGATTTGATCTTTGATTTTCGTTGGATCATAAAACTCATTCCGCAAATTCTGCCTATGTGCAACCTACTTTTTACCAAGAGTTAATTTGCAATAACGGTTTGCATTAGCTTCAACGATCATGAAATAAAATCGAGGCTTTTGAAAAAAGAAAACAAAATTAGTGTGTTAATATTTATAAGAAAATGTAACATTTTTCAAAAGATAAAAAGTCATACATACATAATGATATATATACCTGCAACATTTCTTTAAAGCAATCCAAAAAGTAAGTGTTAGGCATGCTTGTTTTCCAATACCGCCTTTCAAAATTAATTGGAAACAAATTGTCATCAATTGCCAATATACCACAATATCCTGCAAGCACGCCTTGTCCTTCACCAATAGGCATGCCTATCTCATCAAACTTCACAATGTTGCGTTCCCCGAAAGGTAAGTTATTTACTTCTTTGATCTTGACTTTAATTTTCTTGATAACTCCTTCTAAGTCTGACAACAAAATAACTTAATCAACCATAACTACAATTTAAAAAAAAAAGGTATGCATTCAGAAAAAATAAATGACATATACTTATTGCATCAACAGTCCAATACGATAACGATTGACGTTCAACTTGTTGTATGGATACTTCAGTTTGTTCTATGTTTTTAGTGGGTAATGAGGATTCACATTTAACATGTGTGGATGTTTCAGTTTGAATGTGAATCCTCATTACCCACTGAAAATACACAACAAATTAAAACATCCACACATGTTGAATGTGAATCCTCATACCCACTGAAAACACAAAACAAACTGAGGCATACACACAACAAGTTGGACGTCAATCTTTATCGTATTGGACTGTTGATGCAATAGGTATATCTCATTAATTTTTTCTGAATGCATACCTTTTTTTTTTAAATTGTAGTTATGGTTGACAAAGTTGTTTTGTTGTTAAAGACTTACGAAGAGTTATCAAGAAAATTAAGGTCAAGGTCAAAGAAGTAAATAACTTACCTTTCGGAGAACGCAACATTGTGAAGTTTGATGAGATAGGTCTGTCTATTGATAAAGAACAAGGCGTGCTTGCAGGATATTGTGGTATATTGGCAACTGATGACAATTTATTTCCAATTAATTTTGAAAGATGGTCTGGAAAAACAGGCATGCCTAACACTTACTTTTTGAAATAATTTAAAGAAATGTTGCAAGTATATATATCATTATACATGTTTGACTTTTTATCTTTTGAAATGTTACATTTTCTTATAAATGTTAACACACTAACTATGTTTTCTTTTTTCAAAAACCTCGATTTTGTTTTAGGATCACTGGAGCTAATGCACAACAATATTGCAAATTAACTCTTGGTAGAAAGTAGGTTGTACATAGGCAAAATTTGTGGAATAAGTTTAAGATCCAATGAAAACCAAATATTAAATCATAAGTAATGTTTCAACTAGTATAGAAAGAACCCAATAGGTTTATTTTGTTACTTATCGTCTAAAACCAAAAACACTAGAGCAATTTCCATTATTTTGAATGGTGTGAATTGTTTGTGTACTTAATTTATTTTATTTGTATATTAACTTACAATTATTTCTCTCATAAGAGATGTGTAAAAAAAATAGAGAAAATCACAACAAGCAACTAACACCTCATACTGGTGGTTCTAAACTTTTCTCAATATAAAGGCATGAGATGGTAGGGATATCAGTAAACATGACAGTTTTTACTATTTTTTAATGTTTACTATTTTTTTTAACTTCTCTTTTTATTTAGTTTGTGGAAACGGGACAGTTGTCTCGTCATGGAAAGCTATACATTGAAACTCATAAAAGAAATGACAGATCATTTGTAAATGACGCTACAAAAGATTTGGCAGTTAATTTTACTATAATATTATATTTTCAAACATTTTTTCTTAATATTTAGAGTTTTATCTCCTAATGATTTTATTGGTAAAGTGTTAGGCCCACATCATTTTGAAAGAGTACAATGCATGGGTTTAGGAGCAACTCCTACTAATTCATTTTAAAATACAAGACTTCGACTTTCAGATTTAAGTCTTGCTTCACATACCATTGTCCTATCATCATCTTCTAATCAATGGCAACAAAAATACAACAATTTGGAATCTCATGTTCAAACAACCTTGGGTGTACTTAAAGCATATATGATAATGAAAGAAGGAAAGATTCCTGATGAATTGACCTCATTCTTAGATCGTCAACCTCAAGTACTAATATAATTGAAGCAATGTGTTTGATATACTTTAATTATAGGCAATCGTTACTACTTTTAACATTTTTGTTTTATCATTTCAGGAAGGTGGTGATGCAAATGAGCCTGAGTGTCCTTTGGGTAAAATAGGATCATCTCGTGCTAGTAACATTTAGGGAGTTTATGATGTCTTTTAGGATGAAACTATATTTAGCTTATGGATTTTGAATAATTATGAATTTTGTTATAATTACGTTTCAATTTAACTTACTTTTATATACTATGGTGTTTTGGAGAATTGAATGTTTTAATGATATATAATTTAACACTTTGGTAAAAGAAGTATGTCATGTGTTTTGTCTTCATTAGAATATTTGAATCTTGTTACAAATAAATATTGTTAACAAAAATATAAGCATCTCAATGGTGACATTGTCATGAGGCGAGTTAAAACTCACAAACTAAATAATACAAATGAGGCGAGTTAAAACCTTTAAATTATAATTGTCAACCTATTAATTTTTTCCAACAATAAGCATATCAACATACAATAACAAGATAATAAATTCATCATCAGAAAACTTTTTAACAAACACATAATGATTAAATAGTAGTCTTCTTATTGTCTCGCTCACACATCAAAGACTCAAACTTCTTGTGCCACTAACCCAAAGCCTGCTTCAAACCATATAGACTCTCAGGCCTTCAACAAGAAAACCATCAGGTCCTTCATGTATATCTCTTCCTCCAAATTACCATGAAAGAAAGATCTCTTCACATCTATCTGTTCAACCTCTAAATCAAGAGTATAAGTTAAATTTAATGGATGACATTTTCACCACATGTGAGAAAATCTCATTAAAACCAACACCATTTTCATGTCTAAAGCCTTTCACCACTAATCTGGCCATGTACCTTGAAGATGTAGAATTAGCATCTTGCTTCAACCTAAAAATTCACCTGTTCTCTAAAGCCCTTTCGTCGAAAGGAAATCTCATTAAGCCATAAGTGAGATTATGGTGCAAAGATTTCATCTCATCTTACATTGCATCCAACCATTGTTGTGTTTCTTTACTCTCCAAAACCTCTTCAAAACACTCAAGTTCACCTCCATCAGTCAAGGTTATATATTCATCATAAGAATACCTTACAAAAGGTTGTCTTCGTTTGTAGAGCTCTTGAGTTCGACTTGAGGTGGTTCAGGTATCTCTATCATGTTCCTATTGAGTATCATCAATTGGAATCTCTACTCCATCTCCAACCTATACATCACTATTTTTCTCACCATCTTTGTTTGTACAAGCTAACAAAAACCCAATACAGGTTGAACTCTCTTGAATGTGTCACTACCCTTTTAGAGTGTTACAAGGAATTTTGGGCTTAATGCAAGGCCCCATATGATTTCAGCTTAATAGATTCTACTTAAGGGTTTAGTATGAGAGATTGATTGATGGACCTAAGCTAAACTTATATATGAGTTAACCTAAACCAAAGTCTGTGAATTAGAAGAGCGGAGGTTTAATCCAAAACCATGAAAGCAAGCTTTATCAAAACTTAATGCAAAGTTAAGCCCTAGACTAAAAGTGAAGAAATAAGTCCTGACACACGATAGGACCCTATTAAGTAGGATAGTTTGCTTTAATAAGTTAAAGAGGTATAGTCTGCTTCCAAAGGTTCATTATTTTGTCATGAAGCCTTCAATAACCCATGGATCTTACAAGCTGCATTACAACAGTAATAAGTCTCATGCTTTCATTGAGCAAGTTGTCTATGTGAGAGAACTAAATAGAGAGCATTACTTCCTCCAACACCATATCTTTCTTATCCCTTCCTTCTTTGTTGATCATTTCAGAGCCATTATCCACTTCTTCCTCCAAAATTTCAACAACGGGAGGGGGATCTTCTTCCTCAGTTCTTATCTTCACCTTCTTCGTCGATCCATTGTTCTCAGGATGTGGCGGAGGTTCTTCTTTCTCACAAAGCTCAACGGCGACAGTGCACTCCATTTTCAGAGATAGACCTGTCTTGAAACGGCTTTGACAATCCTACACTTGCCTTATCTTACCCTTGACTCTCTCTCTCGATAGAGACTGAAAACTTGACCAATAAGAGCGAATCGTTGCTGTAGTCGATTGCTCCGGAATTGGACACCTTCCTCCAACAGCCCATAATTCCATATCATGATGGCGGAGACCAAAGAAGTTTGGGGCGCAGTTCGCTCCTCGCTTTTGTTCAATTATAAATAACTATCCAGTTTGATGGAGATTTGTAGCATCATTCAAGTACAGTACATGTAGATTGAGATCGTAGAAACATAAGCGTGAGTGATATAGGTACACCTAATTTCGGACTAGTTATTGCAAGAACTATAAATAAAAGACAAAGATCTCTTATGAAACAGAAAAAATCATTCATACATAGCATAGTCCAAGTGGACCCACTTAAAATCTTTATTGAACTATGACTGGCCATCATATTAGGAAATGTATATTCTAAGCATGAGCAGTTGCTATTTAAGTTTAAAATAATGTTTAAACTTTTAGATCTTCTTCATATGAACTCAAACAGTAATGAAATATTGATTTGGTAGTGCAAAGGGCTAGTAGTACCTCATGTAAAGGAAGGTCCAGTCCAACTTTAGATGAAGTTAAACGCAAATTGGCAAATCGTCGTAAATCTCTTTCAGCTATACTTGGAAGTATATACCCATCTATTTAATGAAATGTCAATCAGCATCACAAAATAACTTCCAAACGTCCAGTCCAGATAAAGCACAGTTCAAGTTTTATATTTCCAAATGTCTGGGAATTTCAGGTTAAATGTAAGGATTAAATGTTAACCCTATTCATTACATGAACAACAAACACTTGACTGTAAACCCAAACCACAAAATAAATTAGATGTTAAGATGTTTTACCATTATTAATCATTCCATTGTAGATATGAATTGGAAATCTATAAGAATAAGTGTGTCAAAGTAGATGGAGAACCTGTTTTCTCCGAAGGCCACAGAAAGAATTCAGCACATAGCTGCTGGAGTTTAGTACGTTGAAACGTATATTGAGCAAAAGCCCTACATAGAGATGAGTAAAACATTTAAACTATAAATTGTTATACAATTTATACTCCAGATCTAATTTTCAGATTACATAAAAAAACTCCATTTAAGAATCACAAAAATTTGATTGCTTGATATTCGTAACTGTTTCAAATGAACTTCATTTCAGTTTTCAGAAATTGATGTTTATACCTGTTGAATAATTAATACTGAGAATCATAACAGAAGAAGTATGAGATGCACTAAAAATCCCAGGTCAATTGTCTACGTTTTCACATTCCCTAATTGGTTTGTTTACTGAATATATTTCAATCTGTACAGAGAATCAATCTTTAGGAGTTGCAAACAATCCACTAAAAAAGGTAGACCTACTTGAGCACAATATCTGAATCAGCTGAGTGACATTTTGGCTTCATATAAGCATTAATTACTTCTAAAATGTTATCATCCAGCCCAAAATCGTTCCTGCCTCCTGTATATACAAAAGATAGAAACCGAGATCCAAAGTTAAATGGCAAATCCTCCATTTGACAAATGATTGAAAGTCATCTCTGTATACAAGTTGATGCAGACTAGAGAATGCATTCTAGACGACATAAAATAAGCGCATAGGTACTGGGTATATACATTACATCACATGGTTTATAATCTATATTACATTAGGCCTAACTGTAGCGTCCTATTCCTTTACAATTTACGTTTATATGGACAGTAAACAGTTAGTGTTAATTTAGGCTTTGTATAATATACTAATTTAGCTAATATCTTATTCAGATATCAAGTTATTTTACTACTCTAGTTTAACTTGTTTATATTTATTATGGTACTTTTGTTATTCAGAACTTTACTTATCTTATCAGACAATGGTAATTTAACCTTGTATGGTTCCCATTTTGACAAGTGCTATATAAGTCATTTTCCAGCTATGACGAACTAGGAACTAGGCAGTAAATGAAAAAATTGCTTTCAGGGAGTTATTCTTTTGATAGTTCTGTCCTTTCATCTTCTTCTCAGATTTGTAACCACACAGCCTTTAAATGTTCACTCTATCAAATCCCAAACAATTTCTTACCTGAAGTTTTTATAAACCCCTATCAAACACAAAACAGGCCCTAATAGCCATTGTGTGATCCTTTAGGCCCTGTTCTCTTGAGTGGATTTGAGGGAATGGATTTGAGGGGATTTGAGAGGATTTGAAGATAATTTTTTTTATCGTTTTTTTGAGCAAATTTGGAGGTAAATGAGAGTGAATTTAAAAATAATTTTTTTTTAATATGTCATGTCAATACAATTCTATACTAATTCTCACAAATTTTATTTTCAAATTCACTCTCATTTACCTCCAAATTCGCTCAAAAAAACGATAAAAAAAATTATTTTCAAATCCTCTCAAATCCCCTCAAATCCATTCCCTCAAATCCACTCAAGAGAACAGGGCCTTAATCCTGGTTCTTTTCCTTGCATACCGACCCTTTTCCTGCACACCCTATATTAGTATTTAAATCTCATAATTCTCTCAAAGAACCCTTAATTTTGAATTTTTTTTATCCATTGAATCATAAACTTTCCACTGTCTAGCATCAGTGCCCAGTATTTTAAGGAACAATATAGCAATAAATAAGAAACTCGTTCAATAATATTTTTCTTAAACAATCAAAAGTAAGAGATAATTGGTTCATGAGATGGTAGGTGGTCATTTACCTTATCCAGGGCTTCAACCCAAAAGATTTTGCTAGTGGAAAGGAAAGGACGTGCAATTTACAAAAATATCAAACCATGTCCATTCAACAATTTAAGCTGTTCAAATAGTTGGTTTATGTTCAAATAGTTGGTCATTTCACATAAACATATCCAAGATATCAAATTTGAAAACCAAACTGTCAAACTAATATGCACACTATAACACAATTTCGGACACTTTACTAGTCCATAATTCTGAACTTTAAAGTTTACATATATTATTTACAATTAATAACATGCAAACAAAATCTCTCTTCTTTGTCAGAAATATTAAGTGCACAATCACATAACTAGTACACATAATGTCTCTAATTCTCTGGATAGTATACATATAATATCAATTTTGAGTTACGTTCAAAATAATTACAACTAAATTTATTGCAAAAAAACCTTTTTTCAAGTAACAATTGTATAACATTAAGATTAAGCGTATCAAATTAGAATGCGACGTATTAGAAGGTATACCTCTTCTTTTCTTCACCCATCCAAGTCCTTCAGAAGCAATTTTTTGAAGAACATTTTTGTCCCCAATTGATTTGACTATCTGACAAGCCGACTCCTACAGCCATCAAAAAAATTAAGCATAAGCATAGGCATATGTAAACACATGTAACCACGAGCTCGGTTGTACAACAAAGCGTGAAAATACGAGAAGGTAAACTCATGAAAGAAAGATTTCAAGACTTACTGGACCCAGACCATGAACTCCTTGATAGTAATCACTGCCAAGAAGCAAGGAGAGAGCAATCTGAAGATCACAACTCAGTCATAAAAAAATAACACAATATCCTTGAAGAAACATATTTATCTATCTATCTATATATCTATATCTATCTTGTTAGAATATTTACGCTATTTATCATTGTTAGAGTATTTATCCCATTTATCATTGTTATACTATTTACCCTATTTAGCATTATTGTATTGTGTCAAGGGTTACTAATAGGATATAATGTGATAGGTTATAATGGATAATGGGTGCAGGACAGAGGAAACAGTTTAGGAATTAGTGGTTAGTTGGTTGGGGGGGCCTTTATAAGGAGGCAGGGAGCTCTTGTGTCAAGGGACTTTTTGGATAATCTTGTAGATTGAGCTTTGGATCTTTGTGAAGGGGAAACCCTTGGAGGAGAGAGTGCTCTCCTATTCTTTGTGATCTATCCCGTCTATGGAATAAAAAATATTACTCTTTTGTCTCTTTTCAATTCTGGGTTCCTATCACTGGTCCAACCTGTCGGATCAAAGGTTGCAGATCAAGAAGTGATCAAGAAAGGGTGGAAGCATGGAAAGAAGAGACAATACCTTGGAGAGGAGGACCAGCAAACAGAAAATGAGCAGGGCAGAACCGAAAATGAGCATGGCAGAATGGAGAAGAAATATGCAAAAAATCAGGATTCTCATAAAGGGCTTAGAAAGAAGTGAGAAATCAGTCATGAAAGGAAAGAATGAAGGAAACATGGGTAGGTATGTTGTGAAAGATAGTCTGCTAGACATCAAGAAAGCCAAGAAACTGTCATATGGAGGAGAAAATTCAACCAATAAGGAGAAGAAAAGAGAAACGGAAGCTATTGTTTTGACTGTTGATGGTTTTGCAGGAATTAGAGGGCAAGATATGAGAGAAGAAAACATGTCTGAAGAGGAAGGCAATGACGAAGTTTCACGGTTCCAACCTTGAGGACAAGGTTGTTTTACAGCAAGGTGTAATGATAGAATATAATGTGATAAGTTATAACAGGTAATCGGTGTACAACAGAGGAAACAGTTTAGGAATTAGTTGTTAGTTTGGTTAGTTGGTTGGGGGGGCCTTTATAAGGAGGTAGGGAGCTCTTGTGTCAAGGGACTTTATGGATAATCTTGTAGATTGAGCTTTGGCTCTTTGTGAAGGGGAAACCCTTGGAGGAGAGAGTGCTCTCCTATTCTTTGTGTTCTATACAGTCTATGCAATAAAGAATATTACTCTTTTGTCTCTTTTCAATTTTGGGATCCTATCAGTTATCTTATTTATCATGATTATATTGTGTTTAGGATTATCCTAATTATCATGTATTCTTATATTAATTTATTCTTATAAATAGAAGATTATGAGAGGGATCAATTAATCCCTCGAGAATTATTTTACAGCTTCAATATCAAGTTATCTATTATTATTAGATCATCAAAACATCTAAGGAAGAGAGGGGTAGGAGTAAACACAACAAAAATAATCACAAAAAAGCATGTAAAAATTCTATATTCAACGCGAGGCACTAGCAACCATTTCCAAATTTCAAATTCAAACAATTGAATGTCAATTATGCTTCACAGGGTAACCTCAGTTTTAGCAGGCTTTTCAATTACCGTTGCCTTGATGGTGTTAACCATAAGATATATTAAGTATTGTACGTGGACCTATTTTTCTTGTGTGGACCTTCACATGCATAAAATCGAACTGAATTGTATTGAACAGTGGTCAAAGAAAGATCATCTATTAAAAAACAAAATAAGAAAAAGAACGCAAGTAAACATTGTGGTTCATAAGCCTGTCAAAAAGTCAATGATCAGTTACCAATGAGTCCCTTCCAAGTCCAAGTTTTCTTTCGATATCTGTCATCTCATAACAAACAACATACCCACCGTCTCCTAAAACATCAAGAAATGACTACTCATTAATCATATGAAAAAATAATTAATACAAAAAATTCACCAGTAATAAAACAAGATGACCTACTCACCAAGGCAGATATCCCTATACACTGTCCTTGCACCAAAAAGGAATATGTCTGAATCTAGACTAAAACATCCATCCTGCCATAATTATTATGAATCACAGACAACAATGATTATAGGTTAGCTGAAAGCAATAGCATAAGCATCCAATTAAATCAGAAATTACAATGTGGACAGAAAGGGGATATGAAGATAGATAAGTATACACCAGTGCTTACACATAATGATTCAAAATTCAACAAAGCACATTGAGCTTCAGCTTCTTCAATCCTGAATTTAGAAAAGATCAAGATAATATTAGTTCAACTGAACAGCAACTTCTTTATTATCCAGCAGTGCAATTTTTCAATCAACTATTAAATGAAAAACAGAGAGCAGAAACATCCATTTATAAACATGAGCCTAGATTGCTTAGTACCGCTACGAGAAGACATCAAGCACATTTTCAAATTTTTATTCAAGCACATTGCCTACCATAAAAAATGTTCAGCACCTTGTTTCTCTTTTAATGAATCAGTGCCCTCATATATACCAGGACTAAATTAAAGGAAAACTTATTAGTTCAATTCACATTGACCAATCAACACAGTAAGAGCAAAAGACTTTCTTCTTGAACTATTATTACTATTATACAATAATAAATTAATGTTCAGTTTTTATTGAATTTAAGTAAACTATATTTAATACTAACATTTACCAGACACAATATGAGAGCATCCATGAAAACAAAACACTGAACCTTAACATCAATTCTATTGTATATTACCCATTCAAACAAGAAATTCCAAGAGCCATCCCCAACATTTTAGCCTCTCTAATCATGCAAGAAAACTCAGACCCCATGTTTCTCTGTAACGAAGTCACTTTCTGTAGCTTTGTTTCGTTTAGTGCTACCTGCAGTATTATTATAAACTAACTAAAGTTAGTGCAAAGAGAGTTAGAAAAGTATAAACAATACGTAAAGGTATGGAAATGTATAAATTATATAAGGGAAACCACATCAGAAAAGAAAGATGAGAGGTCCACCAACCTCCTTTCCAACATTTAAACGACGCCTATAGGTTGATAATTTTATGGCAGGAATTGATCCATCTACCAGACATCAAAGCTTAGTCATTGGGAAGAAATATGCATGAATAATGTAAATGCAAACACATTCAAATATTCAGTTCCACAGTCACAGAACACCCACCTCTTTCAACATACTTTAATTAAAAGAAAAAGTGAGGATATCACACTCTTTGGTTGCCAAATGTGTAAATCTTCGTCGCATTGGTCGGTGAAACTAAGAATCCAAAATAACTCCAAGATTTTTAAGCTCAAGAACTTGCTCGGCAAGTTTAGCATAAACATGTTAATATTATTACTTAAATCAAAGTTTTTTTTTCAAATTTTGAGCTAAAGTGATTAAAAAAAGTAATCGTACAATGACACACTTTTCCATTCCTTTGTACAAGTATAAATTTTTGTATTTTTCGAAAAAAGAAGAAAGTAAAAAATAAAGAAGGTAATGTCAAATGAAAAATAAAGAAGAGTAGTGTGAAATGTTAGTAAAAAATTGTAGGTGTGTAAAAAAATATTTTTCTAAACAAAATTTGGACTTTTTTCTCAAAATTTTTACTTTCAGCATGTGATACTGTATATTTCAAATACTAAATGGTGTTTTACCCTTCAACAAATGAAACCCCCCAACTCTGAAATTACAAAAATTGATAAACCTGTGACGAAGACGAGGCTGCAATTGAGCGCAATGAGTGCTCTGAGTCGGTGAAAGAGCCCTTTAAGATACACTTTCTCCTTTACGCAAGCGTGGGACTTGCTCACGCTGTGAAGCTGCACCATCCAGCACGAGAGGTCCACGCACACCCTCTTGTTCCTGACCAACAAAACAAAGATCGGCGTCAACGGCGAACACCGTTCAGAGGGAAAAAACGGAGTTTTGAGGAAATTGAACACACTGTAGATGGTGAAGGGGAACCCTTTTCTTGCACGATTCCAACACGTCCCACAAGTTCTTCACGCCCATTGCAATGGAGAGCGAGACTGAACGTTGGTGAGAGGGAGAAAGAAAGAAACTTTTTCAACGAGAGGGAAAACAAAAGAAGGGTTTACTCATTTAAAATTTTGAAATCAAAAAATAACTCAAGTTGATAAGGGTTTCATATGTATGTTCTGTACCATCATCATATCATGCTTTCTCCCACTCTTAAAATATATTTTCTCTATGTCCAAACCACGTAAGTCATCGTTACATCAAAATATATACAATTTTATAATTTTTAGAAGTAATTAACCAAAAGATAAAAAATAAAATGCAATTAAAAAATATATAATTTTGTGAACATAATATTAAAAAACTACATAGTCACTATTTAAAAATATATATTTAAAATAAGAAAAATTATTTAACTATTTATCTTATTAAATAAATCTAATTAAAAGAAGAGATAAATAGTTCAGTATAATTTTGTTTTTAATATCGTAAAAATAAAATTAATTTTAACATACAGATTTTAATTTAATTAATTTTATTTAATCTAATTAAATATATAATGACTTATTTAATAACCTAAAGTATTGAATGAATAGGTGTTTTAAAATAATGAAATTTAATTTTAAAATAATTAAATAATATAAATATAATTTTTTAAATTCATTTCATTCACTAAAACACTAATTATCTTTCTAAAAATTTCCTTCGAGTCTTCGTTGAGAAGGTTAAGTTAGGTTGTAAGACAATTTTGATCTAAAAATGATGTTTCACTAGGTGACTTGTTGAAATAATGGTATAGATGAAGATATTGAGTTTTAGAAATTGTTTTGTTGTTATTTGAAATTTGTTTGATTGATGAATGTGTAAAGAACTGGTTTAGGAATGTAACGTAAACAATTAATGATGTCTTGAAATGGATTTTTGTTGTATTTTAGAGGTTTTTGATAGTGAGATTGAAAATTAGAGGTTTTGTGTCAAGATGGAAGTTTGGGAGAGTATTGGTAAGTTATTTCTAACTGTTAAAGTCCCTAAGTTGGTAAAAAAGAGCTAGAATTTGTGGAATTGAATTTTGGTCTCTAAGATGGGGATTTAGTTGTTTTTTAGTTAATACCTTGTTGTAAACAATTGATAATTAGTTTAAGACAAGTTATACAAATTTGTTTAGGTCTATAATAGCTTAGAATTCAATTTAAGAGTGTTAGAAGTTGGTAAAAATGATTAAAATAGATCATGGGTGATTTAGGGGTGTTATTTGTGCAGTTTTCATGCTGCATAATTATGTAGCAAGGCTATGTGAGCAAGAGAGGTTCGCTGGATGAGTTTAAGTGAGTTATGGCAATAAGTTCCATTAGTTAGGCAAGCTAGTTCGTTAGGCTCATGGAGCTTGTTGTTCTGGCTCTCACTAGGCGTGTAGGGATTGCTCATTGGGCGAGCTTATGGAGTTTTTTGCAGTGAAGTTTAGGGGTTGGAGGGGCTCCCTCGCTAGACTTGGGAAGCCCTCTATTTAGGCTTTCGCTGGGCGAACTGTTTGTGCTTATTGGGCGAGTGAGTTCGAGTTGTTGTAGATATTTCGAATTCCCTTCTCTTTTATGTTTGGTTTTTAATGATGGAATGATATGTCAATTGCTTAGTAATGTGATTTAAAATGAAATGATGATATGAACAGTGTCATTGAACTCCATTTGGTTTGAAAAGAATTTATGGGATGAAATTCTTAGTGGTGATTTCAAATGATTGATCTATTGATGTAGGGACTTGGAAGTTATCTTGACGCTCCAATAATAGCGTCATCTTATATAGAGAAGGAGATTATGTGGTGAGGAGTAACGAGGGATCCTAGCCTATGATCTGTTGTTCTTTATTCATGGGTGGTAGACAGATTAACCTTGTGTGGTAGCTTGGGGACAATTGTTTCACCACTACAAGTGCTAAACTTGTCATAGTCTAACATCAATACATTTATATAGACGAGTTTACCTATGTCAATAACATGATTAGGATGTGATAGACGCTACTCCAGAATGTGCAGAGGAAGCTCCACAACTCAGAGAATTGGCAGCGGATGAAAGGAAACAGTGGAGGTTCGGAGCGCACTCAAGGTGTTTGTGAAATTTTCTGGTGGTTTTTGAATGGATGTTTTGGTAGATCTTTAACTCAGTAGGCTTTCCAAAGGGGAAAGAAGCTAGAGGAGGTGCTAGATAACAAAGCACAGAGGTGAACTTGAGAGTAATAGCTGGAAATTGGCAGCATTTCTTTACTTCAATTCAAGTTATTCTTACAATGGATTGAGGTTCTCTTTTATAGATGAAGAGAGGCCTTCAAACGTGCCTAGCAAGCTACTGGAAATGTAAGAGAGACGTGCTGGAGAAGCTATACGGACTAAGTTGCATGTTCCATGTGCACAATATTGAAAACGTGCTCAAAAGAGATGAAACTACATGGTTGCTTTGTGTTTCATATATAACATGTGCTTCAAACTTGGTCATTGGTGAGTGGCAGCGGCTGCAAGCTTCTTTGGCTGCTTGGTTATGGTTCCAAGCCTTATTATTGTCCTACAAAACAATGTAGATATATTTAGTAAAGTAAACATTCTAAGACTTAGAAAGAAAAGAACTTTTGTTTATTCAACTTCCCTTTCTTAGTCTTAAGTTGATACTTCTTAGGATGGAAAGTCCTTAAAGGGGTTGCCATCAGGATGTTTGTTTTGTTTTGAATGAAATGGAATGTATAATGTGAATCTTAATGCGTAATAATTGTTTGCTCTTTTTATTATTAGCTCACCCTTCTTTTGTAATTTTTGTTGTTTGATTGAATGCGTTGATTTTATGTGACGATGATCATCTGGTGGGTGTAAGCATAGATTGGTGGCGTGTCTCTAGAATAAGCCTTTGGTGGAGATAGTACCAATGTGTAGACAATATAATACTTATGTGTTTTCTTTTTCTTCCTTTAGTTGTATTTGAGGATCCTTTTTAGTATAGTTTTAGAATTATAAATTTTGTATATAAATTTTAATTTATAGTTATGTTTATATAATTGTATTTATACTTTATATGTCGTGTTTGTTAACTATTCTATTTAATGTGATAATTCCTTAATAGTATTTTAGACTATTTATTTAAAATGTCACATTTTCTATTCAATTTAATCTGCATATTAAATGATGTTGTCTAATAAGATCCTTTAAAAAAATTTATAATAAAATAGTCCAATCTATACATATTTATATCATATTTACATATTATTTATTATATAGTTATTATTAGGTCCAAATGAGTATTATTTTAATAAAAGCATCTATATTAATATTATAAATACAACTTAAGAAATATTAATTTCATAATCTCTTTTATTTATAAATTATAGGTTTAAACCCTCGGATGATCCTCATATTTGTATGAGAATCTCAAGTGGGTCCTCATTTTTGCAACTGTCTCAATTAGGTCATAGTATTTGTAAAATTGAGTCAATTTTTCCCTATCCGTTAAGTTGTCATAGACGGTGTTAAACTTTGATGACGTGATGCACACTTAAAATGCTGACTAGCAATATTATGTGAACACTTTATGACATGGCACAAAATTTAATTGGAAATGTTAAGGGATTGGGATTCCTCCATCGTCTTCATCACCCTCCATTGTCTTCATCATCCTCCATCATCTTCATCATCCTCTACCATCAATTCCGGATTGGGATTCCGGCCTAGGGCGGTGGCTCCATCGAATTCCGCCACCGGTCGGAACTTGTATATGAACCCGCGTCTGCAATAGCGATTTTACTCTGATAAATTAAATTTATAAATCAATTGGACCAAAAATCACAAACAAAGATGAAAAAAAATCACCATAAACGAAAGGGCAGAAGAATAAAAGAGAACCCTACTTCAATAAAATCAAGCATCAACACTGAAAAGGATCAGATAACTTTGCCAAAAGAAATTTAAAAGGAAGAAAAGAAAACATTTTTTCAAAACATAATCTTAGGATCACACATTCAAAGAAATACCCAGGAACATTCGCACATTAATAGCAACAGGGGTCACGAGAAAGTTAAGAAAAGTCTTCATCTGCAATTTTGACCACAAAATCAAGGTTTTTAAAATCACTGTAGACACAATTGTGTCACCTTTACGGGCAATCCCCCCACAACATCAAGAATATCGGATTTAAAATTTTGGACACAAAAACAGAGAAAAACAACCTATGAACACAACTTCTGAAGAAAAACAAAACTTGCCATGGTCCGTGAAAGTGGTCGTTGACCACTTGAAATCCCCATTTTGGGGCTCTCCCTTAATTGGGAGATGGAGCTTTCTCGAATGCTTACGTGATTCATTTGGAGAAGGAGCTTCCTTCTGATAAAGCGCAGATACCTACAAGATTGAAGGAGTTGGGGGATTTGATTGAAGCAGTTACTCTCCTAATTCACTTGCGATAGTTCACCAGCATCAACCTTCCTTCGTCGGCATTGTCCTGAAGCTCCTCCATTTCCAAATCCATGTCCATGGTTTCAAACCGGGTCATACGAGATCCGACTTTGGATCCACGCCGGCGCCGCTGATATACTTTGGCTAGACTGTTACTTCGCCAACGATGAATGTTTTTCCCACCGGGAACATCTGCCCCTCTAGAAAGATCTTGAAGACGGGATGGGGATGGTGGCCAATAAGAGTAATAGAAGCGATGTTTTGGGGTACGACATGGGGAACTACAACCACAGGAGCATAATGCGCGGCGGCGGGAAGGCGGAGCTAGTGAGCTCACGCGGCAGTGGCGCCACTACCAAACCTGTACCCAGAAAAACCAGAAATAACAGGAACCCCAAATCAATTCCATCATCGTCTTCGTCCTCCATGGTCGTTGTGATTCGCAAATCTCTACGAGCCTCCTCCATGGCAATAACAAGAATCCCGAACTCTAGGGGAACCCTTCCGCCATGAAATCAATCTCTTTCACTCCTCCACTACGTGTGTGACGATACAACCTTTTCCTCCCCTCTGCAGAATGAAAAACCCTAATTTGCCATGTCATAATTCTTTAATTTAAATAAAAATTTCACCTAATCAAACAATGCATGTTAGCATAAACACGTCATCAAAGTTTAACGCCGTTTGTGACAACTTAATGGATATGGCAAAATTGACTCAATTTTACAAATAT